AGGGGCGGGGCCCAATAGGGGAAATAGAGGATTTTTTTTCTCCTGCTATACAAGTGAAGGGATTTTAACCAAATGCAGTCTGAAGCATGATTAGGGACAAAAGAATCAATTTTGTATAAACTGAGGTGTGTGGGCCTCCTTCTAAGGGCAGATGGGTGGGGCCCATTAGGGGAAATAGAGGAAAACATCAAATATCCTTCTCCTTTTGTACCGATGAAGGGATTTTGACCAAATTTGGTCTGGAGCATCATTGGCCAAAGGGTTCTCAGTTTTGTATGAACGGAGGGTATGGTCCCCCTGGGGGCAGAGGGACGGGGCCAAATAGGGGAAAATAGGTAAATCTTTAAAAATCTTCTCCTCAACCAATTGAAGGATTTTGACCAAATTTGTCCTAGAGCATCTTTGGACAAAGGAGACTCAAGTTTGTATAAACGGAGGGTGTGGGCCTTCTGGCGGCATAGGAGCGGGGCCCAATAGGGGAAATAGAGGATTTTTTTTCTCCTACTATACAAGTGAAGGGATTTAAACCAAATGCAGTCTGAAGCATGCTTAGGGAGAAAAGAATCAATTTTGTTTAAACTGAGGTGTGTGGATTCCCCTTCTTTGGGGCAGATTAGTGGGGCCCATTAGGGGAAATAGAGGAAAACATTAAAGATCCTTCTCCTTCTGTACCGTTGAAGGGATTTTAACCTAACCAAACTTGTTTTAGAGAATCTTTGGGCAAAGGGAATTGAATATTTATAAATGGAAGATGCAACTTTGTTACTTGTACTCCTTTGATAAACCTGAATGGTACTCAGCAGGTTTTAAATTGAAAAATAAAATACCAGGTGAGCTATTAAGGCCCCTGGGCCTCTTGTTGGAGTACCTCATTGGTCGATACACCTAATCCAATGAAATTGATGATTGCCTATTAGCGTCAAATAAGGCTGTCAGTTTAAGGTACTCCAAAATGGTGGGAAAATTTGAGAGGCCCGAAATAAATTATCAAAACTTCAACAGTGTTTAACAATTTAATCAATAAAAAAAATCAAAACAGTTGCAAATGCTTACAGTATGTACATATCATAATTGTTTGTTTAGTAACTTAGAATTGACCATTACTGTCGTTGATTGTATACACTGAACTGCAAAATCAATAAAATTTCAAATGAAATTGAACAAACGATACCGTCGATTGTACACATTAAACTGGAAAGTCAATAAAATTTCAAACATTCATTTAGTAGTAAAATTGAAAGATACATGGCAGTTAGCTATCTCGTCCACATTCATTTTTTGAAGTTCAGGTACATTTTGCCTATTAGTACCCACTCAGTCGCGTTTTCTTCGTGTTTTTGTTCTCCTTTTCTTTAATTAAGTTTTGTATAGTCTCCACATTTTGTTTGTTATCCGTGTCTGGCAGAAAGAAGATATTTATCAAATGTCCCCAAATCATCTTGTATTTAAGGCCTTCTAGTGCGTCATCTATGTCCACATCGTCTTCGTAACATTCCATCAGTTATGATAAATGTATGTCGTCAAAATCATCGAATGGTTCTACTTCGGACAGATCCGACGAAGATTTTTTTTCGTAATCTAGACATCTTGACCTCTTAGTCTAAGCTCGAACTGATTGAATAGATTTGGGTTTTCACACACTTCAAATCACGTGACACTATATGCGACAAAACAGTTATACCATAGGCTCTCGCGGATATGTCCGTCATCTCACTCGAGGGGCGGGGCTCAACCCTCGTACGTGAACTTGGGTTGACCCCCGCCCCTCTCGTTGTGATAACTGACATATTCGCTCGAGTCTATAATATGAGGTTTCAGTGTTATAGTGAAACCACATCCATCACTTAACAGCAGCAAGGGGGTAATCAGATGTCCCGCCCTGCGGTCGCAGCGATATCGCTCACTTACATCTGTTCCTCGATCCCAACTGAGGTCAGAGACAACATCACCAACCAACAGACATAAGAAAAAAATTAAAATAGCGAGGGGCAAATCTGGTGGACCCGAACTGAATGTCCCCTTTGGCAAAGGATCAGAGGACCCGACAAACCGGTTCAATGTCCTACTAGGTTTCGATGATGAGATGGAGACGAATGCCTCAGCGCTTCGTGCTCCGACTCCATCGAAATCCAGCCAAAATAGCAAAAAATAAATAATACAATTATCCAATGGAACATCCGCGGATTAAAGGCAAATATAGAAGAATTTCAGAATCTATCAAAAGAATTTAGACCCGCCATTTTTTGTCTACAAGAAATCATGCTCAAAAACCCAACCACGCTTAGCAATTTCTCACTCCAACTGTAGTTAGCAGAGCAGCAGGTGGCGCAGCGGTAGCTGTCCATAAAAATATTCCTCACAGAATGATCAAGTTAAACACAAATTTACAGGCTGTTGCTGTCTGTGTAACATTACACAGACAAATATTCGTCTGTTCAATTATCTCCTTCCGAGTATTGTTTTCACTTGTGAGCAACTCAATAACATCGTCTCCCAGCTCCCATCCTCGGTGATTTCAATGGTCTTAATAGCCTGTGGGGCTCTCCCAACACAGACGAGAGAGGAAGACGTATTGAGGAATTTATAGATAAAAACAACTTGTGCCTTTTTAACAACAATACTCCTACCTATTTACACCCTGCTACAGGCTCTCGTACGCACATTGATCTTTCATTACGTCATCCATCCATTCTACTTGGTTATGACTGGAGGGTAAATGATGATCTTTGTGGGAGTGACCACTTCCCAATTTTTCTTAAGAATATTGGGACTCCTCTTGATGATCCTCTACCTCGATGGAATATGCACAAAGCAGATTGGGCCCAATTCCAACACATGTGCATTGAAAAACTAACCATAGACAATTTTACTAACCTCGACGACCCTATCAAAACTTTTACTGAAACACTCACTTCTATTGCCCAAAAGACAATTCCAAAATCCGCTCCAAAACCTACGAAGTTCCTTTTATCTGAAGAATCTTTTAAAACACGCAGTAATCGGGCAGCTGCTCTAAGACGCTACTTCAATTGCCCAACTGCTTCAAACTACAGTGAATTTAAAATTTGGCGGGCAAAGGCTCGGCGATCAATTAAAATTGACAAAAGAAACAGCTGGAGAGAATATGTATCCAAGATATCATCAAACACGTCCTCAAAAAAAGTATGGGATATGATTCAGAAAATAAGTGGGAAAAAGAAAAAAGGCAACATCCTCCCACCTCATTCATAAAAACAAACCAAAAATCGTCTATGTCTGAAATTGCTGATGCATTTGCAAACAAGAGGCCCAGAGGGCCTGTATCGCTCACCTGAATATAATTAAAGTAATTGGTATGAAGTAAAGATATAGCACTCTATGGTAGGTGCTGTAAGTACATATGAAATTTCAGAAAGATCCATCCAGTACTTGAGATATAGAGAACAAACTTCAAACAGAGGCCCACCCCGATTCCCCTACGGGGGTCATAGCCACCAATCATACAAAATTAGGTCACCGTCACCGTCACCCAAGGATGCTCCAAACTAAATAAGGATAAAATCCCTTACTCTCTATGGTAGAAGAAGGATTTTAAAGGTTTTACCTCTATTTTCCCTATTGGGCCCCGCCTCTCTGCCTACAGGGGGGTCAAACACACCGTTTATACAAAATTGGTTCCCCTTTACCCAAGGATGTTCCACACCAAATATGGACCAAATCCTTTCATTCCTACAGAAGAATAAGGATTTTAAAGAATAATTTGCTATGTTTCCCCTATTGGGCCCCGCCCTTCAAGCCCCTGGGGACCAGACCCTTGATTTATACAAAATAAGATCCCTTTCACCAAAGGATGCTTCAGACCAAATATGGAACAAATCCTTTCATTCCTACAGAAGAAGGATTTTAAAGAATTTGCTATATTTCCCCTATTGGGCCCCGCCCCTCAGCCCCCAGGGGGCAAGACCCACCATTTATACAAACTTTGTTCCCCTTCCCCCAAGGATGCTTCTGACCAAATATGGACCAAATCATTTCATTCCTACAGAAGAAGAAGGTTTTTAAAGAATAATTTGCTATGTTTCCCCTATGGGGCCCTGACCCTCAGGCCC